TAAAAATTATTGCAACTCTTTTTACTGAATAAATTTTTTTATTACGTATTTGGTATATAGTACTAATTAATTAGTAGCATCACATTTAAATTCTTAATTTTCATATTTTTATAAATTGTTAAGATGTCGAATACACGTTACCAACTGCACATGAATTTTCTTTCTTCTTCTTTTTTTTTTTCAACGTACAACATGTAATTGTATCAACTTATCCATTGTATAAAACATCTAAAATGCTAATTGTACATCACTACTTTTTTTACATCAATTTTCACTCTCTCACAAAGACGAGGTCCATGATTACACTTGCATGAATTTGTGCTATGAAAAAAGTGTACGTGTAGAATGATTAATAAAATGTTACCTAATATAACATGCGTCAGTGTAGTACTTTTGGTCATGGAATCTGGGCATCAATTCTTCAAGTTGATTTTTCATGAAAAGCGAGTTGAAACTTAAGCGAGAAAATTTGTACCAAAATGGCAACTGCCAAATCTGATTTCCAAAATCACAGGAAATGAAGCCTTCAGCTACAACAAAATAAATATTAAAATCAAATTTTTTTTTTGTATTTTAATATTGTGTTATCGTATTTATGAGATTTTTAGATTCAGAGAAACGAGTGATCTCATTCAAACATTATCAATGCGTTTGACGATGAGATTTAAACTAGAAATAAGTCAAATCTAGTTCACCACTTTAAATTAGTAGCACGCAAACGGATATTATTGTAATGAAATCTCTTGGCAGTCAATAAAGTCGATGCAATCTGAGCAATAAGTAGGCTTGCTTTTACTTTGCCTTAATGGGATTTGGTCATCTCTTTATTACAATGCAATGCAATTCCTTCAATGACATATTTGTTAACTAAGTGCTCGTTTGACATGCTTCTACTTTTGCATTTATTTCTTATAGAAGAGGTCGTAGAGAGAGATATTTTAAATTAGCTTTCTTTTTTTCTTTTTGAAGTTCTTATAGTCAAACAAATTACTTTCAAAAAACCACCCGAACATATTCAAAAATAGTTTTTTTTAGCTCCGTAAACAACATATGACTTTTCAAATGCAATGGCAAACGAGCCCAAAAAAAAAAAAATAATAATAAAACTCAATTTAAAAATACTCAACGTCCCTTTTACTTTCTAGATAAGCACAATCAGTTCAAGTAGGGTCCACATAATTAATGCTAAACAGTCATTACTCATTGCTAACATTGTAATTTTAGTTTTACAACTAATATTTAAAGCTGACAACAGAGCTATAACTAGCACCCCGACATGGGTGAATATTAAACTGAACAACAAGGACAAAAAGGAAAAAGAAAACGTAAAAAATAAATTAACGGTCGTTAACAAGAGGACTGACGGCCGTTTCCTTGCACGGACTTGGTGGTAGACTACTCCTTCCCAATGCAACAAGCCGTTGCACAAACGCTTCGAGTCTCTGTGCATTTGTCTCCGTTAATAACCGTTTCCCGCCAAACGGTAACGACTCAACACCTCTCCCCGTTAACACTTCATCCGGTCGTTCCCCAACACTGTTAGCCTGTAAGGTAACGCCGTTGACATGTTTATAGCTCCGTGATCAGAAACATTTCGATTAAATTTTCAATTAGGTTGAAATTAAAAGAAAGAAACAACTAAAGTCATTTATTTAGAACATTCTTTGCTAATTAATAGCAAAATTAACTGAATAGTAAATGAATTTGAAAAATTACCTGAATTCTGACGTAACTATTTGGGTTCCAGCAGAAGGCATGGCCAAGCATTTGGTCAATGGTTTCAGAGATGCCGTCGAGGGCAATGCCAACGACGGACAACGGCGTACAGTGGCCGTCGCGGCTGAGTTTCAACTTTGATGAAGTGCTCAACGGTTCGTTACCGAGAGAGAGTACCAAAAGGTCATCAATGCCGGTAACTGACGGGAAATCACGCTTGTTATGCAAGACATGAGTTACGGCTGCTGCGGCGGGGTTGTTCATCACAAGTCCGCCGTCTACGGCCAAGCAAGAGATCTTTCCGTCAATCGACGAGAGCTTGAACGGCTTGAACATTGACGGAGTCGCTGATGTAGCGCGGATGACTTTCCAAAGCTCAAAGTCAAAGCTCGCTGACTCCGAGGCGTCGGCACGGGAGAAGACGAATGGTGCTGAGCTGTTGAGGTCGAAGCATGGTATAAGGAGTGGCTTACACGTGTCCTTTAAGGTCAAAACCTTTCCGTCTTCTCTCCTAAGCGCCTGCTTTAGCACCCTATCCATGCTCGTATCGGAAAACCTCTGTCGGCGGCGAAAAACGCCGACGTTTTTCTCCTTGAAAAGCTTCGCCTGATTCTCCATCAGAAAATTCACAGCGTCTTTAGCGGAGAACAGCGGACGACCCGCACCATCATCGGCGACGAGCATTGCGGCGAGAAAAGCGCCAATACCCGTGCCGGCGATAATATCGAAGAAATCCATAATGCGCGCTTGCGAATCACGGGTGATCGCTTGGATCTGAGACTCGAGGTGAACTAAGGCGGCACCGGCAACAATGCCGGTAGGTCCTCCACCATCAATGCTTAAAACACGCGTCTTCTTCCCATCACAGTGATACAACCATTTCTGTTCCAACTTGGCAAAAATCTCCAACGTCACCTTATCCAGGTCCATCACTCTGAACAACTTTCTCTCACTATATAAAACCACCACTATAAATATATAGCTAAAATCACAACAAAAAAATTCAAGCAATCGTGCGAGCTAGCAAGTAAAGTGGCTAGATATATAGCTATGAAGGAAAAATCCGTGAAAAAAGTGAAAATCACGAATTAATTCTGAGAAGTATTAATGGCGATGAAATGCAAGTGTACAGCTTTCACTGTGTGTACTGTGCATTATCTTGCAAGGGACTCGGGGGTGTGGGGTAGTGAGGGGACACGGAGAAGACAGAGTGGGGAAGGAGGTTACGTGTGGGTATATTATATACGCGGATACTTCTAATTTTTTTATTTTAAATTTTTTAATATGTATGCCTATTAATG